CTTCCCATTGAGGGCAGGGACAGGGGCCTCTGTAAGTCCCACAGCCTGCATGGGGCTGGCTATGGTGTTAATCCCCCCTTGTTCCCAGGCCTGCAGCCGTCCTGGACCTCCAACAGTGGGATGTAGAGTTTCAAGACTTGCTTTCTCATCTTTTTTCTTGTTTCTGAATTTTACTTTCTGGGAGGGAGGGAGATTTTTTCCACCTTTTTGAACCATCAATTTAGATCCTTTCTGAGTAGAAAAATTATGAGCTAACAGCATGAAAGTTTGCACATAAGAGATCTTATTCTGTATACTAGACCTTTAGTCAAACAATTCTAGTTCGTCATCAGCTTATAGCTGTAAATAAGTCGAACAGGCAGCTAGAATGTGACCTAATGGACATGCTGGTATTGTTACAGAAAAACCAGACAAGAACCAAACAGCACTCTGAGAGTTTGGAGTTACACTTTATTCACCGCGGCGGGCTTAGGGAAATGAATCCAAATTCTAAGCAAAGCTACAAGAAGAACTTCCCTTTTTATGGAAGAGCCAGCCCTTTGTGCACTTGCTGGCGGCGGCCTTGAAAAATATACAGTTCTATCCAATTAAAAACTGCACCTGGCATGGCATTGGGTGTATCTAGTCTCTGTCCTACAAGGTCAGATAGCTAAGTTTATCTCCCCCATTATTCAAACAGGCTAGAAAGCAAAGTTACTTTTTCAGAATAAGAGGCCGTCCAAAGAATAGCAGAGAATTCCAAACAGTAGTTTTACAGAATAGGGGCTTTCTTTCACAGTAAAATTGATACTGAGTCACCCAATATAAAACAGAAACAAAGTTCAAAAGACAAAAACTAAGTTCAAAGAAACAAATGATCCCAATTCAATCCTGCTGGGAGGAGGGACTGAGACACCTGCCTTAGGCCCACCTCACACCCATCGATGCCATCCATGAGTGACCTTTATGAGGCCCAAATGCCACAAAGCCAAACGGCAGCGGCACAGGACTCCCGGGTGCACAGAACAGCAGCCACTGAACCAAGTCCGCCAAGTATAAGAAAGCAAGCAAAGAGCAACTGTAACCAAAGAGGCATTCTAGATAGACGGGGCTCTCAAATCAAACCCAAAATCCTCCTGTGGGAAAACCCGATTAAAGCCACCGAGCTCTGTCCCCTGCTAACCAACCCTGGAAATGCCTCGTTACTGAGTCCAGACAACAGCCAGCCCAGGCGGCAGTGAGAGGGCTTTTGGTGTATGCCAGCTGGACTTGCTCAGTCTTGAAGCCAGCTGACTCCCCAAAGACCATTTACTGTCACCAGCAAATTATTTATAGGGCGCTGATGCAATGAGAGGGACAGGGAGAGTCCCTGAGATTTAAAAGACCTCTCCACAGCTCTGGGAAGTCCCTGTGCATTCCTGGCACAGAGTCAGATGGCCACAAGCAGCTGAGGGTGCCTCCGTGGTTGCTCACCAAATCCTGACCGCAAACCAGGTTCAGCTGCTGACCACTTTGAAAGCCAGTCCCCAAGAGGCAGGGGCTGGTGTGAAGAAAATGGTTTATTCAAGTGCCAGCTGCCTGAGAAGATGGTGGACTCCCATCCCAAAGACCACCCTACTGTCCCGTTAGTGCAGGGTTTTTATAGGGAGGGAGAAGGCAAGAGGAACAGAGACCTGGCGGGGCTATGGACATGCCTGACTGTCCTTGCTGGTCCTGATACAATCTTCAATGTCAGCACCTGGAGCCGGTCCTGCGAGCCACATTCCTGTGGTTGGCAGCCTGTGTAAGCCAGCGTCATGTGGCCAACACCGTTCCTTGTACAGCCTGAAGCTGCTGGTGCCTGCAGGATGCTCATAAGGAAACATTAGTGTAGAGGTCCTTCGTATAAGTTCGTTAGTACATTTTATTCTAGTTCTACTTCATGGTTAGTCAGAGTGTAAAGTTATTATTCCCCGTCACATTACTAAAATCCTTAGATATTGTATGTATAAAACAAACAGAGAGGCTCTGAAAAGTGGAGAGAATCAGTAATTAATGAGAGATCTCCAACCCAAAACATGAGAAGGTGAGGAGTGGCTGGGGTTCCCTCTCACAGTTACTTGCAAGTGAGGGTGTGTGGGAGTGTGTCCTCATGCGCGGGTGCCTGCGGAATGTGCTTGCGGGCCTCTGCCTGGGGTTTCTGTCTGCGTGTTGTCTGACACAGACTTGGTCCTGAAGAAGCTTGTAACCCAGAAACACAAACAAGTACAGACAAAAATGCCCTTCAAAGAAGCCGCTTTCTCTATCCAAAAAGCTAGGAAAGTGGTATCTCACAAAGACAGAAATCTTTTAGGTAATAACTACCCTGCTTCATCCAAACACCCTGGCCTGGGCCGCCATGTAGCTCTACAACAGGAATAACAAATCTTCTGACCCTCTGCGGGGCCGGGCCAGAGAGCTGAGCCGGGTTTCTAACCCCAACGGGGTGACGGGGTGCCCTCCTCTCCAACAGGCTCCTGGAGGGTGAGGGGGGCGCCCGTCCATGGGAAGAAACCTGCTCCCTCTAGCACCAAGGAAAGCTGGGAGGAGACTTGAAATTCCCTGGAGGGTGTCAGTCTGCCAGCTGCAGTGGGAGGAGTTAAATAAGTCCGAGTCTCATAGCACAACACCCGCATGTCCAAGTTTCAAATAAATATCGCTCATTGTGCCAAGAAACAGAAAGCCCTCAATCTAAATTTTAAAAAAAATGTCAACAAAGAAATATGGGGATATCAGGATTATCTGACAAAGATTTTAAAGCTTCCATTATGAAAGTACTTAAATAAGCAATTATAAACATGTTTGAAGCCACTAAAAAGTATAAAGCATTCACATTACTGTAAAAAACACCAGAATATATAGGTTGTCCCAAAATTCACGCAAGATTTGAATTTTGCGTGAGCATTAACAACAACAACAAAAAAATAAAAGCCTAATTTTACTTGGTCTATTGAATTAGATTCTAATATCTGTTGCCCTTTAATTTCAATCCCTTCAATTTAATAAGCATTACCAAGTACCAATTATGGCCCAGGCGCAGGGACAATGAAAACCAATGAAGACCACGGCTTTGCGTATGTGCCAGCAAAGCCGTGGAGGCCATTTACCCAATGTAATATTCCATACATAACCCTATACTGTATCTTTTATGAATCAATAAAACATTTACAGTTTTTTAATTATAAACCTGTGTTTTCTATCAAAATTACTTCTGGCGTGAATTTTGGGACAACCTATATAAGAACTAATAGAAATTTTAGAACTACATATAATACAATTTTATAGTTATATAACCCTGTCTGGGGTGTTGGAACTAAGACAGATTGGAACTAAGACAATATATGATGTAAACGAACCAAGCAATGCTTAGAGAGATGGAGTTGCACTTTATTATTATTACTAGAGGCCCGGTGCACAAAAATTTGTGCACTGGCAGGCTGAGAGAAAACTCTATTTCAAATTCTGGACCCCAACATGGAGGAACTTTCCCTATTTATATCTTTTTACCTTCTCTGTCTCCCAAATATGGGGTTTTTCCAGTCCCCTTTGCAAGTTCTTAAAGAACCCTATGTGCTGGGGCTTTGAGACCTCAACCAAAGCCTTGGCCTGGTGTCAGCACTGGTAGCTTTGTCCGGGGAAGGTTTATGGCCTCTCTGCAATGGGAGTAGTCTTATTTTCCTTATTATTTAAGCCAGCAAACATTTACAGGAGCCAAAACAGCAGGGTTAAAATTTCAAACAGCAGTTTTTATATAAGATGGATGCTTCAAAAGGAAAGCAGACATAAATATATTACTATCAGATAAAGTTGACCAGAGAAAATTACCAGCAAATGAAAAAGATATTGTATAATGAATCCATTTTTCAATAAAACGACATAGCAATATAAAATGTGCACGCACCAATAAACAGAACTATATTCCTGAGGTGAAACCTAAAAGAAAGGAGAGAAATAAACAAATTTACAATTACACGTGGAGACTTCCACATCGCTCTCATCTCAGTTCACACCACTAGACAAAACCCAACAAAATACACAACTCAAAAATACAACCAGCCAAGCCCACCCGACCCGCATTTACAGAGCACTGTACACAACACAGGACACGCGTGTTTCCAGGCCACAGAACACGTGTCTGTGCCGTGACTGAGCCTGCGCCCACCTGAAAGGACCAAGGCCGCCAGTGTGCTGCCAAACTGCCTGGAAACAGAGCAGCGAGCACAGGAAGCAGCAGAAGGGCCACCGCGCACTGAGCTCACCCGGTCACGGCAGTGCCTCTCAGTAACCCAGGGTCAGAGGGAGCCAAGAGGAATAATATATTGAACTAAATGAAATACAGCTGAGGTGGCGCGAGTTGAAAGACTTCTCCCAGATGGTATTTCCTTGCTGTCATGCACTCGCTCACCCAAATCCCTAATGATGACCTGATGCTCCCCCTACCCACACAGAACCCAGAATACTGACATTCAGAAGGTAAGAGAATTGTGGATAAGAAGCTGGTGAAGAGACTGTGAAAGGCCCTCGCCGGTGTGGCTCAGTGGATAGAGTGTCGGCCTGTGGTCCTGAGTTTGATTCCGGTCAAGGGCACAGGCCTGAGTTGCGGGCTCAATGCCTAGTGGGGGGCGTCCAGGAGGCAGCCGATCCATGATTCTCTCTCATCATTGATGTTTCTATCTCTCTCTCCCTCTCCCTTCCTCCCTGAAATCAATAAAATATATACATATTTATTTTTAAAGAGGCTGTGGAAGACTTATCAGGACACTTCACTGGAAGATACAGAAAACCCCGTGACCAGCCACAGGCTGCCCTCGCGCTGTGGACACTGTCTCCTCACTGACAGAGGCACCTGGCCAGCAACTGGGAGCTGCATGAGGATGACACTGTGTGGAGCTGGGGCGTCAGGAGGGAACATTTGCACATTCATGTCACTAACTGTAGCTGCTGCCAGCAGCTCCGAGGCTTTCTCAAATAGGATCCATTGAAAGAAAATAGACTGCTGTGTGTTTGTTATAAAAATTAGTGCTTTTTATTTATTTTTAAAGTTTACTTCAAGGAGAAAGCGTGGAGGACAGACTTCCCAGTCTCTCCAGGGTGACCTCACCACCTCCCAGGGACGTGGGGACGGGCCAAGTGAGTCAGTGACCCAGGAGAGCAGACTGCTGCTCCCTGACCTTCAAGGGAAGCGGGGACCCAGGCCCTCGGGCGATTTCGCACCTTCTCCGGCATTTCATTTCCTAAGAAATGACTCTAAAGGTGCTCAGAGCTTCCGGCAAGAACTGGAAGCAAGGTGGTTCCTCCCGCGCCTGGAAAGGAAGTCATTGGTGAGTGAAGGGCTGGTCCCGCAGGTCCCCAGCATCCCGCACAGTCACAGGAGGGACCTGTCACTCAGGAGGCAGAGGCTCTGCCTCCACACAAGCTGCCACCTCCTTGTGGTCAAAGGGCTCCGCTTAATGCCCGCGCCCCACATTCCCAGGGCAACACACTGGAACGTTGGTGAGCAGAACGGCCCCTACACCCCTTCATGGTGGCAGGGAAGACACCTTAGGCGGGGTCAGCCTGGCACAGCGAGAGAAATGGTGCCAGCAGCCAGCACGAGGTGCTGCCGCCCCTCCCGCCCCGGGGAGAATCCCGCAGCTCTGCTGGAACTTTCTGAGAAGGGCGCATGCTAAGCCTTTCTCCCGGCCTCCCCTCTCCCCACCGGCGGCCAGTCTCTGCCGGACAGCCCCTCCCGTGTCTCCCCGCCCGTCCTCCCGGAAAGCTCTGCCCAGGCTCCTTCTCCCCAAACAGCGAGCGCCACCGCCTGTGAGCGACCATCGTGTTTAAGGCCCCAGCACAGTCCCACCTGCAAGGACCTGTCAGGGTGCAATATTTGAAATTGGCAAAAAAGGAAAGAAAGACACTCACATACCACAAAGGAACGACGTCAGTGACTGAAACTGCTGATGAGAGAGAAACATCCATCAGCTGCCTCCTGCACATCTCCTACTGGGGATGTGCCCCGCAACCAAGGTACATGCCCTTGACTGGAATCGAACCCGGGACCTTTCAGTCCGCAGGCCGACGCTCTATCCACTGAGCCAAACCGGTTTCGGCTAAAAAGAGATTCTTAAAAACTTGTCTTTTTCTCTATAGCTTGACTCATGGTATGTTATTTTTTAAATGGCACTGTAGAAATCAGCCATTCAGAAGGAAAAGTTGAAAATCTCTTTATGGGAAATAGTTTTGGAATTACTCTCACTGTGGATAAGCAGTACATGCACGGAGTAGTTAGTACTAAAATAGGTGATTGTCAGGTAAGATTATCTCTTTGGTCATGCACTCCTATATGTTGACTTAAAATGGCTGAGACTGTTCTTCCTTAAAATAAAATGCCAAAGGGTCTTGGGTTCAATTCCTGGTCAAGTGCACGTACCTCGGGTTGCAGGTTCCCCAGCCCCGGTAGGGGTGTGTGCAGGAGGCAACCAATGGATGTGTCTCTCTCACGTTGATGTTTCTCTCTCTCTTCCCCCTCTTCCCTCTCCTACTCTCTCTAAAAAAAAAAAAAAAATCAATGGAAAAACATCCTCGGGAAGGGTTAACAGCTGTGAAAAACTGGAAACATATTTAGACTTTACCTCAAAGAGATGAAGCAATCGGTACCATGCAGTTAGCACTTTCCCTCCTGCCTCTGCTCAGGGGCCCGGGCAGGGCTCCTCTGAGGATGAGCCCGGGGAGCAGTGGCAGGAGCTGCGTGAAGCTGGGGATGCTGTCTCCTAGGCGACCCTGTTTGAAACCTGCGCTTAATGCCCGTGCCCCACATTCCCAGGGCAACACACTGGAATGTTGGTGAGCAGAACGGCCCCTATACCCCTTCATGGTGGCAGGGAAGACGCCCGCTAAGGTGGGGTCAGTCTGGAGGCTGCGAGACTTTCTGGCGGAGGTGCCATCTGGGAAGTCTGAGTCTTCAGCAGCCTGGCACAGAGTGCCACAGGGGCAATGCTGGGCTCACTGCACAGCGAGAGAAATGGTGCCAGCAGCCAGCACAAGGTGCTGCCACCCCTCCCGCCCCAGGGAGAGGTTCGCCTGTAGGAAAAAGATCCAGGAAGCTGGGCCAGGCAGCTCTTCTGATGTCAGCTGTGCCTGGGGCTGTGTATTGGGAAATGACAGTGTCTACTTAGGTTAAACACACCTGTGCCAGCAGCTCAGCGCCCAGGCACACACTCAACGCACATGTCCACACACAAAAAGGGAGCATTAAATCTCATAGAAATTATTCATAACCATCCCAAATGGGAATCAACCTATCTGTCCATCCAAAGAGGAGGAATCACACAGACTGTTGCAGAAGACCCCAGAAAAACCAAGCGACGCTTTGAAGAAGTGGAAAGATACTGTTTTAATTACACCGGCGGACTCCGGGAAATGATTTCCAGATCAGAGTGAAGTAGCATGTGGAATGCTTTGGGGTCTTTGTTCTGCAGATATGCCCCCTCCCCCCCCCCTTCATGGCCCTGCAGGAAGACCCCTGGTGTTGATGATCTGTCCTTGCGCCAGTGATAATGGCTCCCTCCCCTCCCCCAGGGAAGTTCATTGTTCCTGACATGCCTTACAAGACCAGTTTCCTCCTCAAGACTAGGAGGTTTATTCGGGTAAATGGCACAGCAATAGAAATACATAAACTACCAACTCCCGCAACTCTATCAAGAGATGTCAAACCCATGTTGAAAGGATGTGTTAGGTTAGTGTTAGGTCGGAGAGAGCCCAGGATCGGGTACATGCAGACATGTGATGAGACAATGGACTCCCCCTGGAATTTCTCACACATCAACGTGCCGGCTTCTTCTCCCTGAATCCACATACCCCCACACAGATACTGACTCATTCCTGAATACCTGGCTGACCCCCCTGCAGCTGAAACTTCCTCAACTGAATACCTTAGCTCATGTCCCCACCCCTCACCCAACTGCAGTATAAAAAAAGCGCCCCCCTCCCTGTTGGTGTGAATCCACGTGCCCTGTCTTTGGGGGTACGTGGGTATCCCGGGGACGCAGAATAAACTTTCCTTTCCTTTCTTTTCTGATTCACTGGACTCTCTATTTCTTGTGCCGCCTCCTGAGCCACAGGTGGCTCAGGAGGAGGCGAAGGAAATAAAGAGAGTTGATCAGAAAAGGAAGGAAGGAAGGAAAGTTTATTCTGCGTCCCTGGGAGACCCTCGTACCCCCAAGGACAGGGCACATGGATTCACACCAACAAGGAGGGGGGCACTTTTTTTATACTGCGGTTGGGTGAGGGGCGGGGACATGAGCTGAGGTATTCAGCTGAGGAAGTTTCAGCTGCAGGGGGTCAGCCAGGTATTCAGGAAGGAGTCAGTATCTGTGTGGGGGTCCTTGTGGATTCAGGTAGAAGCCAGCATCTGTGTCTGGCATGCTGATCTGTGAGAAATGCCAGGGGGAGTTCATTATCTCATAACATGTCTGCATGTATCCAATCCTGGGCTCTCTCCGACCTAACATCCTGGCCTTTTGGTGATAGGGGACGGTGACTCGTTCTGACTGCTTCCAGCTGGCCAAGGGCGATGAGGGAGGGGCTTTTAAAGGCCAGGGTCAGGCAGAGGCAGATCGGAGGGCAGCCAAGTGTAGGGATGGAGCAGGAGCTGATTCACAGTCACCTGTGACATCTCTGTGATCCGGGAGCAGATGAATTCGAGGAAGCAGGGGGCTAGGAGAAAAAAGACACAGATGGGAATCAGGGGCCCTATCATGGGTAGGACCCAGGTAGCTAAGGGGCTTTGGAGCCAGCCGAAAGGAGACTTGTCCTGGAAGTGTCCTGCATGTAGTTCTTCACTCAGCTTAGTCAGGGTCTGTACGTTTACGTTGTGCTCTACTACTCCGGACTCACTGATGTAGTAGCAGCATTCTTCCTGAAGGAATATGCAGGTTCCTCCTCTTTCTGCAGTCAGAAGGTCTAAGGCGCGCCGGTTCCGTAGGGCTACTTGGGCTATTGATGTCACTTGTCACTGTAGGGAGGCTAAAAAGAGGTGGTAGTAGACTCCAGGGCTAACTGGAGCTTGTCATTAAAGTACTGAGCAGTGACCAGACTGTTCCCGAGGGCCCCCCGGTGAGGCCTACTGAGGCAGCGATACTCACCCCTAACATGACAGGGAGGAAGGCGGCCTGGCGGGTCCAGGATGCAGTTGCTTAAGGTGCTGTTGCACCAAAAGAAGGTACCTGGGCTGGCCTTGGTGAGACTGGCTGCGGTGTGGTATGACAGTCTCTCCAGTGGCAACCCCCATAGGTGTTGACATCTTGATTACACCTGTCTGGGTTCCGCTGGTTGTAAGCAAAACAGACATAGGGTTGGCCAGTATTGGACACTGACTGGATGTTGACAGCCATCTGGATCTTTGTCTGGCATCCGAACAGAGGGCAGTCCTGAGATCCTACCAGCCGGGTGACTTGTTTGCCATTCTGGTAGTAGGTTTCACGGACCTTGAACCTCCACACATAAGCGGGTGGGGGTGGGTGTAGGTTTCTCAGGGCCCGGAGGAGAAGGAGGAGGGGAGGGTGGCTAAGGCGGACCTTAGTGGGGCCCAACACCTCACATTTATAGAAGTCATATTGCTCCGGGGTCCTCTTGAGTCTGGAGAGGTGGTGCCACAACAGGTCACCGAGCAGCTTGGCTGTGGTGGGGGCTGTGAGGATTACAGTGTGAAGTCCTGTCCAGCTAGGCTCCAAGGCTTGTGGATGTAGGTTCCTATGGAGGACCGAGTCACCAGGATGAAGGGCTGGTCCTTAGGAGTCCTGGTCAGTCGGCTCTGGCTTGGGCAGAAACCTGTTCTCGTGTTCTCGGAGCAATTGCCTGATTAAAGACAGATATGAGAGATACGTACCCAGGGGAGGGGGATCAGTAAGGAGACAGTGGTTGAGCAAGAAGGGTCAAAAGGGCTCAAAAAAGTGGGGCTCCTTGGTGTAGCCGGAGTTTGGTCAAGGCCATGGGAAGGAGGTCCAGCCAGGAGCTGCGAATTTCTAGAGAGAGTTTAGTTAGATGGTCCAATAGGTTGGAATTGAGTGGCTATGATGAGAGTTCGAGCCAGTGACAGACAAATCCAGCAGGATGTAGAGGAGGAGGGATTGATGTTCGAGAGTAAATGGAAAGTTGTGTTGATGAGGGTGGGCATAGGAGTAGATCCAGGGTTCGTAAGTAGAGAGTGACACTAGAGGATTTCCCATCCAGACAGTAGAATTGATGACTCCCTCATCATTCCATGTCCGTTTCACCTGAAAATATGAAAAACCTGAGCAAAATTGGAGGATCCCTTGCCAGGTAAGAGCCTGTGAGGAATGATGGGTCATCCGGTCCTGGATGGTGTCGCTGAATCTTCTTCGGGGATGGTGGGAGGCACTCGGTGAGCCTGAGAGAGGTAGGTATTACAGCGAAAGTGGGAGGAAATGTTAGAACGCGCTGTTATCCAAAGGAAAATGGAAGGAGCAGTGGAAGCCAGGGACCTGGAGGCTGGAGAAAAGGCGGGGAGGGAGGGAGCAGGTCGCGCAGCCTGTTCCCAGGCCTCTATCTGCTTGGATTTTAAAGTTGCCACATTTTGTCCGGTATTCGCTGGCACCCTGCCCCGGGGGCGAAAAGACCCCCTCCCTCTTTTGGGCCGGTGAGAAACTGACCTCACCACACTGACGTCCAGAAACTGCCCCACCCCGGTGGAAAGTCCCTGCCGGACAAACGGCTCCTGGAAATGGCCAAAACCGCAGGACAGACCGCAGGTTTCACCTGACCCCGGAAAACCCCCACTGCCACCAGTTTCTGCCAGCATAAAAACTTGCCCCTGCTCCAGTTTGGCGCGGCTTCTCCAGCTCCCCTCTCTGAGCTGGTGAACCCGCCCGTGTGCTCCCAATAAAGCCTGTTTAATCTGGTCTCTGATTGGACTCACGGTTTTTCCTTGCGGCGGCGTAAA